TACGCTGTTTGATAATATCTAAGTTCTCATTGCCTTACGCTGTTTGATAATATCTAAGTTCTCATTGCCTTACGCTGTTTGATAATATCTAAGTTTTCATCATTTTGCATTCTGTATGCACCACCACATTCATAGTTGTGTTGCAGGAAAGATAAATACTCATGTACAAATATCCTCTTTCAAAGTCCTGTAATATACATGTATTTGTTGTTGTTGTTAGGTGCCGTCAAGTCGGGTTCCGACCCATAGTGACCCTGTGTAGGGTTTCTGAGGAGTGGCTGGTGAGCTGGAACCGCTGACATTGTGGTTCAAACCAACTTCACAGTCCAGCACGGTAACTCACAGCAGCACCACACCGGGACTGCAGTATACATACACACATACATAGTATATGTGTTTGTATATCTATGTATGTGTATATACATACATATAACTATATATACCCTACCACTCATCTGTCAGTTTGTTATAATGTGGTGGCTTGTGAGTTGCTGTGATTCTGGAAGCTATGTTACTGGTATTTTGAATACCAGCAGGGTCACCCATGAGGGACAAGTTTCAGCTGAGCTTACAGATGAAGACAGACTAGGAAGAGGAAAGATGGGCTTTATTAGGGAAATACCAGGGTGCAGTTCAGAATCTGGGGCAACTCAGGATATAGCTCTTGTTTGACCAGGATGTTCTTCTCTCAGCTGAGCCTGCAGGCTCACCTCTGTCTGGCCCTCGGCCCCTTGGTCTGCCCTTTGCCCTGCTTGAGTAAGTATTCAAAATTTTGTAGCTCCTCTAGCAACTTCCAGGGCATCCCGCTCCACCAGTAAGCCTTGGCCAAAGGTGCTCAGTTCTCTCTCTCCATGGTTAGCAAGCCTAGGTCCATGGACAGATGTCAAGGGGCACTGCACTCCTTCAGGAAGATGCTCAATTCCCTTCCTGTTTGAGCCAGCACACCTACCATAACCACCTTGCTCTGCATCAGTCTTCAGGTTCTGCTGCCACGGTATGCCTGCCACGGCTTCACACCATCCTGTAGCGTCTCTTGGTTACAGCTGTCTCTAGCTCATGGGTCTAGGAAGTTCTCAGTGCAGGACCCCAGGTCCATAGGACGTGCAGTACAGCTCTCTCGATGTCTCCTGGTTCTAGGAGGTTCTGAGCTCAGGACTCCAGGTCCGAAGGAACTGCATTACAGCTCTCTCCTGAGTCAAGGAAGTTCACAACATGACACGTCAGGTCAATAGGATGTGCATTACAGCTGTCTGTATGTCTCCTGGGTCTATGAAAGTCTCAGTGCCAGACCTCATGTCCACAGGACATGCATTAATGCTCTTCCCATGTTTCCTGGGTCTAGGCAGTTCTTAACGTAGGACCTTAGGTCCAGAAGATGTGCATTATAGCTCTCTCTATGTCTCTTGGGTCTAGGAGCTTCTCAGCACAAGACCTCCAGTACACAGGAGGTGTTATACTCCCCACTTCTTGGCGGTAATGAGGTCCCCATTGTGCTTCCAGGATGATTAATAATAAACACAGTGGAGTGGTAAAGCTGTCCAATCCTTCCTAGAATATACTCTGCCTGCTCACCATAGGACAAAGGTGAGATCTGGTCAAGATCGGCAGCCTCGATAAACCTGTACAAGGTTGCTATGAGTTGGCACCTACTTGATTTTTTTAGTAATGAGCTATTTGATTCCCTTCTCATTTCCTTTTGTGCATTATTTTTCCATTACATTCTTTGCTGTTACCATGAGGACTGCATTTAGCATCCTAAGTTTATAACAGTCTACTTAGAAGCATCGTCAACTTCAAAAGCATAAAATACAGTAATTTGCTCATATACAGCTCTACCTCCCTCCCTATATAGTTCTCATAAATTACTTCTCTATTTGCACTGCATTTAAAAACAGATTTATAAATGTTTTATGAGATATGCAAGATAAAGTTACAAATAAAAAATACAGTAATACTGGCAAGACTCTGAGTTACAAAATTCCTGGGTTTTTTCCCCTCCATCCTTCCCTTCAAATTTTAACTCTTACTGGGAAAAAGAGCATATCTAAATAGCAGATAAAAAAAAATCTAATTATAAAAAGGTATGAGCTGTTGTTGTTGTTGTTAAGTGCCATTGAGTCGATACCGACTCATAGCTACCCTGTGCACAAGAGAATGAAACATTGCCCTGTCCTGGACCAACCTCACAATTGATGCCACATTTGAGACCAATTGATGCTGCCACTTTGCCAATCCATCTCGCTGGGGGTCTTCCTCTTTTTCTCTGACCCTCC